TACTAGATGTGCCCATTTTCTTATATAATATGCCAATTTGTTTGCGATTTGTAATTTGCCTAATGACGTTATATAAAATTTCAATTATTCGTATTGTTTCACAGATACGTAATAGCGGTTTTACTGGACCACGTGGAAGCCGGGTTTCCTTATATCTCCGATGTGGCAACTTACGCACCGGAGAGCTGCATATTTGCACAATTTATCAACATGCTCGCGATGTTGTGTGAGTATATTTCCTTCCTCCGTCGAATACATTTACATTTTCGATGCACTCGGCAGGGAATCGATTGACACCGTGTAGTAACCCTGATTTACGTTCGGAAAAAACGATAGCCACGCGGACGAAGGAGGAATATTTTTGAACGAGTGACAAATTGCCTAATTTTAGCTGTCTTATCAATTATTATCTACGAAACTATCTTTATACCTAAATAATCGTGATAAGATTCGCGTAACAGTGACTTGCGATAAAATGATTCGATGANTCACGATAGAGCACCCATGTATAAGCATAGGACTACCCCTCTCACGGCCTGCCCCGCAAGTGATCTACCCAACTTCCTTAATAAATTTTCGTTTATCTCGTTGCAGTGTCGTTCGTGATTTATATAAGGTACTCTCAGGTGAACGAGTGCTTGAGTAATTTCAGTCTTCAGGCATCCCTGCCGAAATGGAATCATTGGGCTTTAATCTTTGGCCTAACGTCGACCTTCGGCCTCTCCGTCGTCGCGAATTTCCAAGAAACTTCCGTGATCGTCGTTCATTTCATCGGGGCTCTCCTCTGTTTCGGGTTCGGTACCGCGTATTTTTGGACACAGGTACGTACCTCAATTTCATTTAAATAAACTCTACTTTGTCTCTCTACAGGGTGGGCCGGAAATCGTAGTACAACCGAACAGGGGATGATTCTATGTTAAAGAAAAGAAATATAATATTTTCCGGAGCTCCGTTTTCGTGAAAATTGGTTTCAAAGTTTGTTCAACTTATAAACGATTTAGTACAATTTGACAATAGTATAAAAAAAGGAAAACGAAGAGCAGGGGAATGCATGATAAGCAAAAAAAGAACGCAGCTCCGGATAAAAAAATATATCAAAATATTTTCTTCTTTTTATCCTAGAATCATCCCCTG